CACAGGCAGGGGTTGAAGAGGAATAAGTCAACTCCACGCCCCCACTCGTTCTGCCTGGTATCCAAGGCCAAAGGCTCTCAAACATTATTTTTTAACATATGGTAGAAAACACATTCTATGTCAGTTACCTGAATATGTATACGACTGGAACAAAGTTGTTCTGTGAAACAACATAACCTTATCACATGTGATATACTTTGAAGTCTGTCACGTTTCATTTCGTTAAAAAATGTGTCTCAACTCACCAAGTACATTTAATAAGCCATTAAAGGTTCAAGACTCACAATTTAAAAACATCATCCTCGAGTCTTTCAAACTCAATGTGTACAGAACTGCATTTATTATCTCACTTTCAACAACCTGCTCCTCTTCCTGCTTTTCCTTTCTCAATTAATGGCTCCATCATCTACCTGGTTTCCCCACTAGAGGTCTCGGGGCCATTTTGGACACATCCCTCTGCTTTATCCTTTATACCTTGCTGATATCCCTTAAGTAGATCTTCCTACCTCAGTTCCCACTGTCACTATCCCAGTTTATATCACCACCTTTCACCCCATAGTCTCCCAATTCATCCCCTGTTTTCAATTTCTCCAATCTCATTTTTTTTTTTAGTACAGTATTGTTTTCCAAAAATCAGTAATGCTACTGCTCTGCTTACAAATGTTGATGGTTTCCCATTGCCCCACGATGTTTTGCATTCATTTAAATATTCCAGAGGGCAACTAATGTGTGCTAGGCTTCGTACTGGATGCAGGGGAATAAAAATGACAGAGTTCTTGTCCTTAAGGAGCTCACACTCTACACCCCATTGCATCACTCGGAAGACTCTTATAGTAATCCCAGCTTATCTTGTCATCCTTAACTTCTGGCCCACCCCATCTGTACAGCTGATGCTTGCCACAGTGGGGAACTTGACATTCCCAAGGAACGTCATTCACCTTTAGGTCCCTGTGCCTTTGCTCATACAGTTCTACATTCTGTTCCAGCATTCTACGTGCTCTTGCTTTCTTTCTTCCAGATGACCTCCCACTCATTCACAAAAGCCACTCTCTGTGAAGCCTTCCTTTGGGCAAATTCCTATTTTAAAAAGTTTTAAATATTTATTCAACGTAATCATGCACATACTTCAAATTGTTAAGGTGTTCTAGAACAGAAAAGAAGTACTAGAACAGAAAAGTCAGACTCTTCCATCCCTACCTCAGTCTAATTCCCCAAAGATAATCAATCTTAACAGTGTTTCTTGTTGGATTTTTGGTGATCTCCCTGTGTTTCCAAAATAATACCTGGTACTATTATTTCTTAGTGGGTCATCTTAGGCACTATCTGTCTAATTTCTACTAAGAGAGTGAGCATTTGGCTCACAAACACACCGGCCCTATCTTTTCTCTTCCCTGAGCCTCCTGATAGGATTACTTCTGTATATTCATGCTGTCTACTTGTTTTCTCCTCTGCAGAATTGCTATACATCCAGAACTTTATTTCTGTCCTACCAACTGTAGACAGAATCTCTCGATTTTCTAAAATGAGACCCTTAGTAACCCAACCTTCTCTCCACCCTCCTCCCCAGTTCTATTTCCTTCTACCTACCTACCTACCTTTATTTTTACATTTAAAAATTAATCTATTTACATTTTCTTGTACAATCATAGTTTATTCTACTTTGGCTTGTTTATAAGGTGATTCTAAAAGTTGAAAACCAATAAGCAATGTTCCCATTATTAGACTATCTGAATATTGTCTCCAATAGTCTAATAGAGCACACTGCTCATATTTTTTTCTTTGGGCCATTCAGAGAGGTATATTCTTGGATTTCTGGTTTAAATGTAGTTTCTATATTTAGATACCACTCAGTAGTTCAAAATCAATCTATTGTAAGCTGTGTCACACTAGCGTTAGGCCTTTCCTGGACATTTCCTCCCTTGGAGCTCCTACTTTTATTTTATTTTTTTAATTTTATTTAAATCCAAGTTAGTTAACATACAGTTTAATAAAGATTTCAGGAATAGAATGTAGTGATTCATCACTTACCTATAACACCCAGTGCTCATCCCAACAAGTGCCCTCCTTAATGCCCATCACCCATTTAGCTCAGCCCCACCCCACCCCACACCCCTCCAATAACCCCCAGTTTGTTCTCTGTATTTAAGAGTCTATTATGGTTTGCCTCCTTCTTTGTTCTTATCTTATTTTTCCTTCCCTTCCCCTATGTTCATCTGCTTTGTTTTCATTTCACATGTGGGTGAAATCATATGATATTTATCTTTCTCTGATTGACTTATTTCCCTTAGCATAATATATTCTAGTTACATCCACATTGTGGCAAATGACAAGATTTCATTCTTGTTTATCACTGAGTAATATTCCATCTTCCTGATTCATCTTCTTTATCCATTCATCAGTTGATGGACATTTGAGTTCCTTCCATAATTTGGCTATTGTTGATAGTGCTACTATAAACATTGGGGTGCATGTGCCTCTTTGAATCAACATTTTTGCACTACTAGGTATTTATCCAAAGGATAATTTTTAAATTTTTAAATTTAATTAATTTTCTTTTTTGTCGTAGACTCTAAATCTGAAGTTCTCTTTTGGCCAGCAGAAGAGCAGGATGCAGGATGAAAAGCAAGAGATGGCTAACGTCCAGGAAAAGACAAGAGCCTCAAATAAGGGTACTTGCCCCATTTTTATTAGGATCAGAAGGCTTACAAACATGGTGATGGGTGTGCACAAAGAGACAATGAATCTGTGAACATTAACTTGTGGATGTGAGGGACGAGGTCTTGAAGATATTCGGGGTTAGGGGTTTGGGTTAATACAAAACAAAATCCTGACACTGGGCAGTCGGGTAGAAGGTTGTTTACAGAAGACATGAGGCACCCCCCTTGTTTATCTTAGCTAGCCTAGGGGATGGGACAGGTAGGACACTTGACCTCAGAATTAACAAGGCACCTTTTCTTTTGTTAATCATCTTTGCTCTGGGCTGCTTTACCTGCAGCATAGTAGTCTATAGCCCAATTTACCTGTTTACCTAACTTGATCCTTTCTTCCTGTGAAGATAGTACTAATATCTAAGTACTAAGATAGCATCTTCCTGATGCTATAGTACTAAATTGGGGGGGGGGCTTCCACCCTGAACACCTAATCTTGTTTATTTCACCTTTGTGCCCTTATTTTGGGGCCTTTGCCCCTCCCTCTCCATCCTGGGGGCTCTGCACCGCCCCCCCCCCCATTCTGGAGGCCTAAGCCCCCTTTCTCTATCCTTATTCGCCTAATCTTGTGAGCTCAGTGTGTGGGCATCCTATGGCTTTGTATTTATTTATGCCTTGGTAACCCATTGGTGTAAGCCAGGGAATTTCTAAGCTTATTCCCCCCACAATCTTTTAATTTTTTTTTTTTTTTTTTTTTTTTTTGCATTCTGTCACCAGCTAAGAGCTTCAGGGGTTTCCAAGTTCCCAATCATATCTTCAGTTTTATTGAATCCCATTTTCTCCTCTAGCTTATTATTTTCATCAGGATGGGTTGGCTTCCAGGCTAGGCCTAGCTGTCGTCTTGGGATTCCCTTTCTCTGCTCATTTGTTTCCAAGTCCCATGGAACGTACTTATACATATATATAAAGCTTTTTAGCTTTTGTTGTTTATCTGAAATTCCATTTAACTGGGTATCCTGTTTTTATTTTTTTGCTAAATCTGGCAACCCTACACTGGGTATTTTCTCAGGGCACTAACCTATAAAATGCCAACCACTGTCATCCCATCAGAGAATCTGATCTTATTATGATGGGAAAAGCATAGAGCTGGCTGGCACTGAAAGAAACAAATACAATATTGCATACTCGCCTTCCATACCCGCTTTCAAAGCCCACCACATTTTTAGGTGTGATGCTGAATTTCCAGCTTCTTCATCAGGTCTTGAGGTCCTTAGAGATCTCTTACGTAGGGCACATGTACCCTTTTCCATGAATATTCTGGGACAGTTTGCTTCACAGGAGGTCAGCCCAGGAAGTACAGGAAAATGTCGTTAAGCTGATCAAGTTTTATTTAAATTTTCATCTACTGCTAGGTTTAAATAAGTGCCTGCTTCTTTAAAGATACTGATATGAGATAACAGTGTGACTGTTTCCCAGGTGACTGCTCTGTCCTTGCATTTCACATGCACAGGCATTTCATTCTTCCAAGAGGCCGTCGACTGATGTGTTTTGATTATCTCCATTTTACTGGTGAGGAAACTGAGAAGCAGAAGGGATTTAAGTGAAAAAACAAAACAAAACAAAACAAAACAAAACAAAACCGTGCCCAGAGTCGTTCCGTCACCTCACCCCAAACCAAAAATCACTATTTTAAACGTACAGAACTTTAATAACGCCACGCAGGAATTTCAAACTATTTTCCCCGAGTCTCTACATGAAGTTTTAAATGAGTATGTTTTCATTAGAAAGCAGATTGAGGAGAAGGCATTGGGAAACGGAGGAAATGTCAGCTAAACCCCAAATAATTGCGTTAAATTGAGCTACGAGATTGGCCCTTCTTACGTTTCCCGTCATAAATGCTCTTCTGATGGCCCTCCCCCGCATCTCCACGCAGAAATGAAACCGACACAGTGGCAGGCTTTCCAAACCTGAGCGCACCCCACGTGTGCTTGAGTCGGAGTCGAACGCACAAGGGTCGGGAAATGAGGAAGGCGCAGGCTATTTGGGATTACAGATGGAAGCAGAGTGCCTGGAAAGTGAGCAGGACAGACAAGGTTGGCTGGATGCGGAGTGCAGCAGGGAGCGGATCTGATCAGGCCGGAGTCTGGGAACAGAAATTGGGCGGCACAGCACCCACCCGAGGCATGTTAGGGTCCGTCCCCGGGGCGTGTTGCGTTATCCAGCGGGTGCGGGGTGCGGGACCCCGGGGCCGCGGGGAGGGTGCTGGGTGCGCCCGAGCGCGCTGGCTTCCCACGCGCGTCTGCCTATGGGAGGCCGGCGGCCACACGCTCCGCCCCGTCCCTCCCCACCCCCCACCGGGGCGGACCGAGGGCAAAACCGGCGCGCAGCCCACCCGCCCGCCGCGCGCCCCGGGGGAACTGCAGCGCTGGCGGCGAGGAGCGGTCCAGGGCTCCTGGTTCAGACGAGCAGCTCACCGCAGCGCCCGGGTGAGGAGCGAACGCGGGGCGCGCCGGGCTCGTGCCGGACTCTCGCGGCCCCGGCGCGGGAGGCCGGCGATCCCGGAGCGGCCACGGCCACTGGCGTCTGGAGGGTGGGGGGGAGGGGGGGAGCCGCGCCGC